AAAGAAAAAGTCAAAAGTCAACATAAAACTGCAGAAACATCTCCCTGATTCCCTGAGAGGATGAGAGAGAGAGAAAGTTCATTATCCTCAGGCTGCCTGCGGAACTGACCACACGCCCACGTCAGATGCTCCTCTACAAACCAATCAGAGTTAGCTGGTAATCGCTCAATAAACTGCAATGAGAAAGCAAAACTAACCGGATCGAACGTAGACAGTGCAACAAAACCTGAACCTCAGTTCAGACCTTCAGGTGTAAAAAAGCCCTCAGATATTTTCACTCCCTAAACTCAACCGCTAACACGGCCATATTAAAAACCCTCTGTGGGCCGGCTGTGTTTTTATTCCATTTTTACCTAATATTTTGCCCTGAACGGCCACTGTTTATTCAAAATATGCCAAAACTGCAACGCAAAATAGGCACTGAATACTTGAACTATTTAAAAATCATTTTAAAAACATTGTGTTATATATAAAACAATTTTCACATTTCGTGTGACGCCACACTGTATTATCGCCACCATTCTGAGGACTGAATCAGAGAGTGACTCCGCTGTGTGATGTGCTTTGAATGATTGACCTGTAAGACGTGTCAGAAGCCGAGAGACGAGAGACACACACACCTCTAATTCAGTGTTTTCCAGGCTTGGAGCCGCTGAACTGTATAGTTCAGTGTTTCTCTCTGCTGTTCACCTCGTTCAGCTCCAGAAGGGATTAATTAGCTGATAATATCAGGTATTTTAACCAGGAAACCACAGTTCTGCAGTGCAGGGGTTTCAGGACTGGAGCTGAACTCTGAACTAACTGCACTAGCAAACTTACAGAATCACGTCTGTCGAAACACGACGTCGTTTTCCGACCCACGACATTCAGTCTGATATTTAACGCTTATGTTTCTCCATTCAAACGTCATTTAAATCAGAAACAGAGAGTGAAGTTATACCGGCGGTCTGCAGCTCCGTTAGGGGGCGACTGTTCATCTCTCTCTGTTAACATCAGCTAAAGTTATCTAAAGGCCAGCATTGATCACATCTGTGTTAATTAGCTGATGTCGTTACCCTCCTATGATGACAGAGCTTATCTCCTCTTTATGAACACCATGGGATCCTTCACCCACCCTGACATGAAGAGCCGGTGGGCTTCTGTGCTGTTAAATGCTGTGAGAGACTCCAGAATAGGGAGAGGGGCTGAGTATGAGATCAATACATCAGGAAAACACAGATTTGGTATCTTTTCAACCAGTTTAAGTGGGACCAGGAGTTCAGGGGGAACTGTATAAGGATCTCAGACTATTTTGTTGACTTTGTTGAGGTTTTTTCTCTTCTAGAGTAAGGAGAGCAATTTTAGCCATCTTTCACCTCTAGTTACGTTCGTGCGGAGCAGCGAAGCCAGAAATTCAGCCCCAAATCTGGCAGCCACAACAGAAAAATCACGTGACTGAACCCCTAGAGTGGCTACATCAGCTACAGATAACTCTTCAATTTCTTTAAACGTCCCCAGCAGGTTTTTAAAACTGCCTATTTGCTTGAACACCATCTTGTTTTTTTGTGTGGCCCATATTGTTGTTGGGGGAAGGGGGTCAGAGCACAAATTATGTTGCAGTGCATGCTGGGGATTGTAGTGCAGCTCATGGCCCAAATAGGACTGGCCTTGCGTTTCACACATGGGCATTAAGATGCTGTGTTTGTCAGTATATAAGCAGGTTTTAAAGCAGCAGGTTTGCTGGGCTGCTTACCTGAACAGCTGCTTTCCAGACAACTATTTGAAGAATCTGCACAACGTGACTTTGCAGTTTACCGTCGGTCACGACGCCGTATGGTGACCGTTTCACACAAGCCTTGGTTTGACGCTGCCACACGATGCCTGATGTAGCGATCTGTCTTAGTGGAGGCGTGATGTCATCTTCCTTAGGTTCTTGATTGATGACATCATGTCATGGGCGGTGACCCCGAGTGATGGACGTTCTGGAAGCTGATTGGTGGCAGATGCTTCGTTTGGCTTGACAAGTGGACAAGAAGATGAGTTGCAGCTTAACAGCCATCTGTCTTATCTGCTGATCTCACACACACACACACACACACACACACACACATAGAGTAAACTCACCCCCCACCCCCACCCCAGAGCATTTCAGGAGTCCTGTTCACAGTAGTAGTCTTAGGAAAATGGCAGCCTATAAGAATCATTCTGGCCTAAAGCTTTAAAGTTATTTGTGGTGTTATGTAGTTCTCTGTAGCGCTGCTTTGCATCTCTCAGCCTCATCAGTTTCACAGAATTCAGTTCAATTCACCATCAGAGCTCTATCACTACAATACCCAGGATGCAATATGCAAATACCTCACACAGCCATTGGAAATCCCCCCACGGCGATGAAGAAATCCATTGTTGTATCAGTACTAATAATCACAGAGGTGATATTCGGCTTTAGCGCAGCAGCTTTAGGTAGCTAACTCGTGTTTTTGCTCTTAAGCGTTTGCAGTTTTTCAAAAGTACCTCCCACCTTCAAGATGCATCATTAGAAGGGGAGTTTTCTTAGTATTTAAACCTGAAAAATCTCACACTACACACTAGTAGGCTCATTTACAGCAGTTACATTTTTCGTTTTGGTTGGAGTGTCACTTTAAGCATGAGGTTTTTTTATAGAAACCATCTTTAATTGGCTAAAACAGGCATATTAGCATTTCTTGTGAGTTAGCATGGTGTGTTAGCATATCTTAGAAGTTCAATCATGTGCATTAGCATTGCTGATTGGTTAAACCAGATATGTCAGCACATTTTATTGATTGAATTTGGTACCTTATGCATACGTGATTGAAGGAATTAGGTACACTAGCATAGTTGAGTGTTGAATCATACATATATTAGCATTTCTGACTGATCAAAACAGTCGTGTTAGCATATCTTACTGATAGAATTAGGCATGCTAGCATATATAACTGGTTAAATTAAATATGTTAGCATATCACAGTGGTTGAATGATGTATATGAGCATTTCTGATTGGTCTGAAACAGATATGTTAGCATATGTCACTGATTGAATTAAGCATGTTAGCATATGTAACTGGTTAAATCAGGCATGTTAGCGTATCTGAGTAAATCAGTTGGGTTAGCATATGAGAGGTTGGGCTCTCCAAGACCGGAATCAAATATGCAATTTCTTAAATGTTCTGTTCTCATAACAGCAGATATCTTCAAGGATAGATTTAGGAAAGAAACTGATTAAAAACGTTGGAGAGATGAGAATGTTAATGCTAATTATGCAGCTATGGAGTAATATATGAGTAATATATGTGCTCTACATTTACGGTAAAAGCATAATTACAATGTTATTAGGGGTTATTTCACCTGACAGTGAGGAATGCAGGATTCTCAGCATGCATGAAATCAGAGGACCACATTGTAAAGGAATGAACTCATGATAGCATAATTATTCAAGACTTCGGGGACTCTGCTTCTGCGTAAGCGCTTTAGCTGTTCAGCAGGTGTGACTTTCATTTTCCCAGATGTAGCTGCAAATCTCTCCATTACTGCAGCTCAGAAACAGATGTTTTCATCAGTGTGTGCTGCGGCAGATTGGCGTGGCGTCGTGTTTCACACGGTCCTGGAATGTGACACCGCGTTCCATCAGAAAATCATAAGCGAGGTCGCACATTCGCCAGAGAAAGGCCTGAGCAGAAACTTTAATTAAAGCCGTAGTTTAGTGAAAGATCATTGTTGATCAGCCGAGACGCGTTCAGTGTCTGGAGTTTGCTTATGTAGTTTTAGCGCTAAAGCTACGATAATGTGAGTAGGTTTTAATTTCACGAGTCAATATATCATTAGAATATCCAGTGTTTTATCTATTAAATAAAAAAGGGGGTCCGTTCCAGTTTCCTGTATTGTGTCCATGTTAGCTGCTGTACTGTAATAAACTCTGCTGAAGGCCGACTGATAAAACTGGGTACTGACTAAATAACTTTGTAAACCGAGTCAAAAGATCACACAGTAGCTACCATGGAGAGGGAAGCTGGTAAACTGGAACACTCAATAAAGAAAATGGTCAGCATGCATGAGAATAAATTACAGTAGTTCTATAAAATATTCATAATTCTTTCTTTCCCCCTCGTAAGATTTGTCACTTGTCGCTTTTTAGAAATAAAGTCGCTCAGTAAAAAGGGTCTCAAAAGTCACTAAGTCTAGTGGCTCAGGCAGCGATGAGGCAGAGACATGTTTACCACAAAAGATTCAGTGGCTGTATGAGCCTGTAATTCATATTCATATTAAATACTTTAGCAGTAAAAAGAGACCCGTGGCTACAGAAAAAGCCCTGTGTCTGTGGCCCAGTATCCAGACCCTAAACTCCCCCCTGGGCAGCTCCAGTTCTGGACAGACAGAGATGCTATCAGCGTGTGCCGTATGTCACATATGGAGGCTGAAAAAGTGACGCAGTTTAAAATGATGCTCTGTTTGTTTATTTCATGGTGCTACATTCACATAGACTGTCTGTCTGTATGAATCAGAGCCCCCCGATCAGCTGGTGGAGCGATTCAGTCCCGTAACTCCACCCCTGCTTTAACCCCTGGGTCACCTCGCGTCCTGAAAAGACGTTTGTGGTGATGTTGTGGACTCACTGGACACTTCTGGAGCTTCTGGTGGAGTTTTACGCAGCAGTGTTCTCTAAAACTAGGTGAGTGAGTGGTAGAGGTGGTCAGTAGATTGCAGCAGCAGCGCCCTCTGCTGGCCAAAACAAGCACAGCGGGAAACGTCTGCCTGTCTGCAGGTCTTTATTAGGACTTTCTGCTGTGTTTCTAATTCACAGTTAAAAACGAGGACAGCTCCAGCCGGGGACAGACCACCAAAAATGGGGACCCCGGAAAACAGGGACCCTAATCAACGAGGCTAATGTAGCTAACAGGGAATGGAAGCTAACAAGCTTAGAATAATAAATATTGGATTTATTGACTTGACTGAAGATAATTTCACTCACTAATGTATCATTTTTTGCAGTGCAGTGCTGTGGAATCTCAGGCCGAAAATACGGATCCAGCTGCCGGTCGCTGAGTGGATGCGATCACTTTGTGCCGAGAGCCGAGAGCTCTGTGAGAGGCCTTTGAGCGGTAATGAAGTCTGAGTGAGGATCCACTCTGAGGAGAAAGGAATAAAAGCTCCCTCATATCCGCCTCCAGGAGCAGCAGGACGTTCTGTAGAAAGCAGAATGAGTGGCTGAGGGTTAGATTTACATTGACCCTTTCAGGCCTTCATTAAAGAGCCCATATCCTGCATTTTCACACGATCTCGTTCTCCCTTAGACTTAAAAACGCTGTTTTTTGGTCTGGCACCTTTAAAACTGATATATGCTTCAGCGTGAGTGGGTGGGGCCAAACTGCTGTAGGCCGAATAGGCGGATATATGCAAATGTGTTATTTTTTGTGACATCATAAAAACAGTAAATTCAAAACAGGCCTTTTTTGTAGCTTAGTTCCCATAGACGGACTGAGGAGGGTGAACGGTACATTCCCTTTGTTTATGCAGAAGCAGAGCGACTTCTTAGTCTTAAAAAGGGCTGGATAACGGAGTTCCTGTCAAGTTTGTGTTTGACTGATCAGCGATGTTCGGCGCACAAACTCCACCCCGAAACCAAAAAGATTTAAGGATCTGTATTTATAGCAGTGGCGAACTGTGACTGTTAGAGCACCGTCTTTCAGTCTGCAGCCCTTTTTTTCAAATTTTAATTTTCTTGTTTTCTCAAACTTGTTGAAAAGATTTTTATTCAAGACAAAATTTCAACCTGACTTATCACCAAAATTTGACCAAGTATTTCAAAAAATGACTTATTTTCTCAAAACTGTGTCTCAAAATAAAGACTTATTTCATAAAAAATTGACTTATTTTCCCAAAATACTATCTCAAAATAATGGCTTATCATTTCTTGTTTTTGAGTTCTTGATACAAAATTTCAACTTTATTTTTTTTTACCAAAACTTACTATCTTGAAAAATTACTTATTTTTTCAAAACAGTGTCTCAAAATAACTAATTTTCCCAATATTTTGACTTAATGTCTCAAAGAATTACTTATTTCCTTAAAATTTTGACTTAGTATCTTGAAAAATAACTTATTTTCCCAAAATAGCATCTCAAAATAATGACATTTCAACATGAATAAATAGTTTTAACATTTGAAAAAAAAAAAGAAATTGTTTAGGTACGATAACTCATTATTTCAAGAAGTTTGAGAAAATAAGTCATTATTTCGAGATACGTTGTGAAGTCATACAGCTGCCAGAACCAGAGAGAGAGAGAAGCTGTTTTAGAGCGAGAGCTTCTACCGCCGCATGCGTGTGATGACGTCCAGTTAGTTTTCACATCTCATTATTTGCAGGAGTTGCAGCAGCGCCACCGTGAGCCTCCTGCTGACCCCCCGCGTGGCCGAGGAGGAGCGCCGGGTTCCGTTTGCTGCTTGTGTTGGGTTCGGAGTGAGGCGGAAACAGGAAGGCAAAGACTTGAAAAATGAGCCTCTTTCACCTCCACGCACTGACTCAGCTCTGAATGAGTCAGGAGGGACGCAAAACAAAAGACTCTTCTCTCTCTCTATCTCTATACCTCTGTCTCTCACCCTCCTCCTTTCTCTCCTCAGAACTTTCTACCCACATACTGACAGGATGTGCAAGGCCGTTTCTTTGTGAGCGGCCGGCGAAACCCTGAACGACCAGCAGTGATTCACTTGACCGTCTCCCATCCACACGTACGGCTCAATAAACTACAGCTCTATCAGACCAGCCTCCTCAACGCCAGAGTCTCACTTTAAAGAGGAATTACAATTCCCCCATAATTCAGTGTGTGAGGTGTAATCAGAGTGATTCAGAGTGGTTTGGTGTGAAATGGTTCAGATCTCTTTACAGTGGTGGTGATAGGAACCAGGGGTCGCCATGACTACAACACAAATATAGACATTTTATTTACTATCCAGAACCACCAGAGAACCTACACGAGTCTTCTGAGTTTATATGGAATGTTGATGATGGAAAATAGTGGAAAATCTGAAATAATAAGTTTTCTTTGGGGACTATTTTGCCTCACAGCGCCCTGCATGTATCCCTCCACCATGAATGGAGTTTAGGTTCTCTAAACTATCATAAAACAGTGTCTCAGTCATCAGGCAGTGAATTCATAACCATTTCATGTAGGAACTTTCTGTGAGGGAGCTTTTAGAGGTGGACGTCTGGTTCCTATCACCACCACTGTGAACAGTTCTGACTCGGTAAGTTTATCTAGAACGGAGCGTTTCACACCAAATCACTCTGAACCACTCTGAACCACTCTGAACCGCTCTGATTACATTTTAACCACTTAATTATACAGGAATTTTGAAAATTTAGTGGAATTCCCCTTTAATGCAGTACATATTTCCCTTTAATGTATGGCACATGCTGTTATATCATGAATAAATATGATACAGCCTTTCTGACTGACCTCAGTACTGTCACTGTATAGAGAGAGACAGAGAGAGAGACAGAGAGAGAGAGAGAGAGAGACAGAGAGAGAGACAGAGAGAGAGAGAGAAAGAGACAGAGAGAGAGAGAGAGAGAGACAGAGAGAGACAGAGAGAGAGAGAGAGACAGAGAGAGAGAGACAGAGAGAGAGAGAGAGAGACAGAGAGAGACAGAGAGAGAGAGAGACAGAGACAGAGAGAGAGAGAGAGAGAGAGAGAGACAGAGAGAGACAGAGAGAGAGACAGAGAGAGAGAGAGAGACAGAGAGAGAGAGACAGAGAGAGACAGAGAGAGAGAGACAGAGAGAGAGAGAGAGACAGAGAGAGAGAAAGAGAGAGAGAGGGGCGAGCTACAGAGTCTTACACTGTAATAAGATAGAAACAGTTTCATTGACACAGAGGCTCTTTATCAGTGTTAAACCTATTTCTAGCACTGCTGAAATAATTACATGCACTTTCATTTAGATTAGCTCCATGTTTTCATGCTTTAATATTAAAATTGATTTTAATATTAAAGCACTTTCTCTCCTGCCGGCCTCGTCTTGATTCGGTACAGATGCTAAAGCTTTAGCGCGTTTCTCCAATAATACTGGACCAAAATGAACTAAATGAATCCGACAGTGGTGGGAGATCAGAGTGGACGTGCGTTTGTCCTGCAGTGGTCTAGTATGTTTCGCTGGCCGGCTAGCTTAGCTAATTTAGCTAACTAGCACCACTGTTAGCATCCACTCTCCATTCCAATACAGCAACTAGCAAGTGAGAACGAGCGCTTTCAGTCTGCATTCAGTGAACTTATCTTTTCTTTCCATCTGACAAACATGAATGATTATAATTTTTAAAAAGCAGAAAAAGGAATGTCTCTTTTCTTCTCTACTGGGTCTGGAACCAGTATCTCAAACTGATTTTCTCAAAATTTTGAGTTATTAAGACAAAATTGCGATATACAACATAAAAATGTATAACATTTGCAAAAAAGTAATTCTGTAGGGATAAAAAGATTATTCTGGGAATGCTAGGTCAGAATTTCAAGAAATGAAATTTAAAAAAAAAGAGTTGAGCTAAATTCAAAAAGTAGATGATTATCTTGGGATAATTAGTTATTATTTTGACAGAGTAAGTCAAAATATTGATAAAATAAAACACTATTATGGGATAATAGCTTAGCTGCTAAATAGCCAATTAGGCCTTTAGTAGTTTAATAGCTAATGAGGCATATAGCTTAGTACCTAAATAAGTAATTAGGTGTATATTTTAGAAGCTAAATAGATAATTAGGCTTATAGCTTAGTAGCTAAATAGCTAACTAAGCCTTTAGTTTAGATAAATAGCTAATTAGTCCTTTAGTAGTTAAATAGCTAATTAGGCCTATATCTTATTACCTACATAGCTAATTTGTCTTATAGCTTAATAATATAATAATAGCTAAAAAATAAATAACTATAAAATTCATGGCGTCAGACTTTGTCCTATGTCCTGCTTTATCCTATGTCTGGAGGCCCTATATAGTTTGTGTATGAAGAACCCACTGAGCGTGGATTTAGCCTAATTGTTGTTTTTTTCAGATAATGCTGTCTCAGTCCCGTCAGCTCTCCAGCTCGAGACTCGATTCCAGCCATCATAGTCTCAAAAAAGAAACCAATCTGAGGATCCTGATTGGTGCTGTCAGGGTCAAAACACAGCAGGTACTGTTATGCTCCTGAAAATGAATATGTGTATGGATATGTGTATGGACGTGTGTATGGATGTGTGTATGGATGTGTGTATGGATGTGTGTATGAATATGTGTATGTGTATGGATGTGAGTATGGATGTGTGTATGGATGTGTGTATGAATATGTGTATGGATATGTGTATGGATGTGTGTATGAATATGTGTATGGATATGTATATGAATATGTGTATGAATATGTGTATGGATATGTGTATGGATGTGTGTATGGACGTGTGTATGGACGTGTGTATGAATATGTGTATGTGTATGGATATGTGTATCGATATGTGTATAGATGTGTGTATGAATATGTGTATGGATATGTGTATGGATGTGTGTATGAATATGTGTATGGATATGTGTATGAATATGTGTATGAATATGTGTATGGATATGTGTATGGATGTGTGTATGGACGTGTGTATGGACGTGTGTATGGACGTGTGTATGGATGTGTGTATGGATATGTGTATCGATATGTGTATGAATATGTGTATGAATATGTGTATGGACGTGTGTATGGACGTGTGTATGGACGTGTGTATGGATATGTGTATGGATATGTGTATGGACGTGTGTATGGATATGTGTATGAATATGTGTATGGATGTGTGTATGGATGTGTGTATGGATATGTGTATGGATATGTGTATGAATATGTGTATGGACGTGTGTATGGATATGTGTATGAATATGTGTATGGACGTGTGTATGGACGTGTGTATGGACGTGTGTATGGATATGTGTATGGATATGTGTATGGATATGTGTATGGATATGTGTATGGATATGTGTATGAATATGTGTATGGATGTGTGTATGGATATGTGTATGGATATGTGTATGGATGTGTGTATGGATGTGTGTATGAATATGTGTATGGATGTGTGTATGGATATGTGTATGGATATGTGTATGAATATGTGTATGGATGTGTGTATGGATGTGTGTATGGATATGTGTATGGATATGTGTATGAATATGTGTATGGATGTGTGTATGGACGTGTGTATGGACGTGTGTATGGACGTGTGTATGGATATGTGTATGGATATGTGTATGAATATGTGTATGGATATGTGTATGAATATGTGTATGGATGTGTGTATGGATGTGTGTATGGATATGTGTATGGATATGTGTATGGATATGTGTATGAATATGTGTATGGATGTGTGTATGAATATGTGTATGGATGTGTGTATGGACGTGTGTATGGATGTGTGTATGAATATGTGTATGGATGTGTGTATGGACGTGTGTATGGATGTGTGTATGGATGTGTGTATGGATATGTGTATGGACGTGTGTATGGATGTGTGTATGGATGTGTGTATGGATATGTGTATGGATATGTGTATGGATGTGTGTATGGACGTGTGTATGGATGTGTGTATGGATATGTGTATGAATATGTGTATGGACGTGTGTATGGATGTGTGTATGGATATGTGTATGGATATGTGTATGTGTATGGATATGTGTATGGATGTGTGTATGGATATGTGTATGAATATGTGTATGGACGTGTGTATGGATGTGTGTATGGATATGTGTATGGATATGTGTATGTGTATGAATATGTGTATGGATGTGTGTATGGATGTGTGTATGGATGTGTGTATGGATGTGTGTATGGATATGTGTATCGATATGTGTATGAATATGTGTATGAATATGTGTATGAATATGTGTATGGATATGGATGCGGATGTGAAGGTGGATGTTGCACAGATGAGATCTGTTTCTCTGAGAGATTAGAGCTCAGCCCAGAGTCACGGACAAGCAGCAACTCAAGATGTAGCCTAGCAACATGTTACAGTATTAAGAGCAGAGCCTGGCTGGGGTGCTGGAGCTGGTCCAGGCAGGGCCGCACGCTGCGAGTGTGGAAGAGGCGTGATTGTGTCATGAGTTAGAGGTCAGGGTCTTCGTGGACATTCATGTAAGCGTTCTTCTGTCTGTGTGTGTATTTTTGTTCGGCAGAGCTGTGTGTGTCTGATTCATATGTGAGCTGTCCGTTCAGAACCGTAAATAAACATTAAGAGAAGCGTTTTTCTGCATAATGTTAACGTTAATAATTCCACCCCTGAGCGCTGACTCACACTGATGCAGCTGGTGTGATCTCATCACACTTTTGCATTACACAAGCATTTATATCAGTGTCGTATGTGTAATTATGCATATGTACCTTCAGATACCCTCTAAATGTAGGTATTGTGATATAAACTGAGTCTGTTCTACAGTTTCTCATTAGGCTGAATGAATAACTGACTCTAAATGTAGGTATTGTGATATAAACTGAGCCTGTTCTACAGTTTCTCATTAGGCTGAATGAATAACTGACTCTAAATGTAGGTATTGTGATATAAACTGAGTCTGTTCTACAGTTTCTCATTAGGCTGAATGAATAACTGACTCTAAATGTAGGTATTGTGATATAAACTGAGTCTGTTCTACAGTTTCTCATTAGGCTGAATGAATAACCGACTCTAAATGTAGGTATTGTGATATAAACCGAGTCTGTTCTACAGTTTCTCATTAGGCCGAATGAATAACCGACTCTAAATGTAGGTATTGTGATATAAACCGAGTCTGTTCTACAGTTTCTCATTAGGCTGAATGAATAACCGACTCTAAATGTAGGTATTGTGATGTAAACTGAGTCTGTTCTACAGTTTCTCATTAGGCTGAATGAATAACCGACTCTAAATGTAGGTATTGTGATATAAACCGAGTCTGTTCTACAGTTTCTCATTAGGCTGAATGAATAACTGACTCTAAATGTAGGTATTGTGATATAAACTGAGTCTCTTCTACAGTTTCTCATTAGGCTGAATGAATAACTGACTCTAAATGTAGGTATTGTGATATAAACTGAGTCTGTTCTACAGTTTCTCATTAGGCTGAATGAATAACCGACTCTAAATGTAGGTATTGTGATATAAACCGAGTCTGTTCTACAGTTTCTCATTAGGCTGAATGAATAACCGACTCTAAATGTAGGTATTGTGATATAAACCGAGTCTGTTCTACAGTTTCTCATTAGGCTGAATGAATAACCGACTCTAAATGTAGGTATTGTGATGTAAACTGAGTCTGTTCTACAGTTTCTCATTAGGCTGAATGAGAAGGTAAATACATCAATAATTTTAAAGTTATCACATATATCACTAACGTGAGCTGGCTAGCGTGTTGCTAACGCTACTCACTTTCATTTAATGTTTTTCCCACTTGAACTCATGGAGGTCAAAAGATTCCGAGCCAAGTCGAACGCAGCATTATTCTCGACCGAGACGTCTGAAGTGCAGCCAAACTCATCAGTTTGCTGTCGGATTGTTTTCGGTCAATAACTGCTTTCTCTCCTCGTCTTTCTGAACGGCACAAGCGGCACAAATGAAAGTTTAGGGCCAAAGAGTGGAGAGATAATGGCAGTTGGCTTACGGCGGTCAATTTCGAGGATCATGAAGCTCAGAGAACGGTCAGAACTTCCCTCCTGTGCCAGGCTGGACTGAAATGACCTTTCTTTGCTAACACTAACAAATCCTCCTATCAGCGGCTCCAGGCTTGGTGAGGAGCTTCTCCAGGCCCTGCTGATGAACCGAGGAGCTCAGGAAGAGCCTCTGTGGCATTAAATAAAACCACCTCGCTGAAAGTGGACGTCCTGAAAACACAGAAGACGTCTGGTCAATCTAATGCTGACCTCACATGTTTATGTTGAAAAAAAAAGGTCATTCTGCACCTCAGAGCTTTACGCGGCTAACAGCAGCATGAAGCTACGCTAATGTTAGCATGGTCACTACGTTACTAGTGAAAATGGATGACTATCAAAGGAAAGCTTTATCAGTGAGTGTGTTTACATGCACTTAATTATCTGATAACTGCAGAAAATCGGATTGTGTCACTAACTGGTTCAGCGCGTTTACACTTAATAATCTGATAACTGCAGAAAATCAGATTGTGTCACTAACTGGTTAAGCGCGTTTACACTTAATAATCTGATAACTGCAGAAAATCAGATTGTGTCACTAACTGGTTAAGCGCGTTTACACTTAATAATCTGATAACTGCAGAAAATCAGATTGTGTCACTAACTGTTTCAGTGCGTTTACACTTAATAATCTGATAACTGCAGAAAATCAGATTGTGTCACTAACTGGTTAAGCGCGTTTACACTTAATAATCTGGTAACTGCAGAAAATCAGATTGTGTCAGTAACTGTTTCAGTGCGTTTACACTTAATAATCTGATAACTGCAGGAAATCAGATTGTGTCAGTAACTGTTTCAGTGCGTTTACACTTAATAATCTGATAACTGCAGAAAATCAGATTGTGTCAGTAACTGTTTCAGTGTGTTTACACTTAATAATCTGATAACTGCAGAAAATCAGATTGTGTCAGTAACTGGCTCAGTGTGTTCATACTTAATAATCTGATAACTGCAGAAAATCAGATTGTGTCAGTAACTGTTTCAGTGCGTTTACACTTAATAATCTGATAACTGCAGAAAATCAGATTGTGTCAGTAACTGGCTCAGTGTGTTCATACTTAATAATCTGATAACTGCAGAAAATCAGATTGTGTCAGTAACTGTTTCAGTGCGTTTACACTTAATAATCTGATAACTGCAGAAAATCAGATTGCATCAGTAACTAGTTCAGTGTGTTTTTATGCTCTTGAGTAATCAGATAATGGGGAAACTCCAGGTCTACATGAGTCAGACAGTAATTAGATTTCTGCTTTGAACCAGCCAATAAACTCACAGAATAAGATGTGACGTAAACGTAACGTAAAGCTCAAACGTCACAAGCGCCTTTTTTTTAATATGAACATGAATCATCTAGAATATGTAAATCCTTCATTTCGTTAAGAACGTATTTGGTTTCAGTGTCGCTCCAAAAGTGCTGTGCTGCGTCTCACAGCGATTCTGCTCGCTTATTTCCAGTACCGCCGTCTGTTTTCACACATGCTCAGACTGAGAAATCCGAAAGAAATCAGAGTAAGAGTTTACAGCACTGAGAAATCTGATTATTGAGCTAAAATCCAGCTTGGACCACGGATGTGGTCCAACTCGAGGTACTAAGGGCAACATCGCAGCCCTAGCGAGGGTCCAGTACAGGAGGCGCTGTTTGCAGCCACACTGGGAGCACATGCTGTGTAACACCACATTAGCATGACGTTGTCTGCTGTGAGTGATGATGTTTGGCGCCCGAGCTGAGAAGGTTTATATTTACACATTTTAGCAGTGATTTAAAAGTATAAATAGAGTACAGGAATGTGCTGACACTGTAAGAGTAAAAATTAAAAATGTTAAATTAAAAATAAAGCTGCGTTATGGAGCGAAATGGGGCCGTATTTTGCTGGTCGTCTTTACTGATATTCTACATTTAGCCAAAAAAATGAATATCTGAATCTCAAAATTAAAAACCGAAAACCTGCCCGACTAACGAATATCGAAATAGCTGAATATGCAGGTCCAGTCCTGCCGCTCTGACCCTTATTTTGTTTTGTATGATACTGGGTTCGTCTGGAATTCAACAACGAGTCGTTTCAACATGCACTTTATTCCACCACTGCAGTCGATAGCAGAAGTTGAAAACTGAACTCTTGACGGATCGTTGGAGATGGCAGAATTTTCCGTCACGGCTCCACTGAAAACAAAGAAACATCTGGAACGCAGCATTAACCTCCAGTCTTCTGTGAACTTGCAAACACACTGACTTAACAGGCACGTCATTGAGAAATCCCATCCGGCCGTAAAGCGTTTCGTTTCGTGAACTCCACACAGCCTGCTGGGAATGCAGACTTCATGTGAAGAGAGAAAGAGAGAAATAGAAAGACAATAGGAGAGAGAAGGTAGAGAGAAAGAGAGAGAAAATGAGAGAGAGAGCATGTCTGAATTAGACTTTACCATATACGTGTTTCTAAACTCTGCCAGCCAGTCTCTGATATTCAGATGTGAGTTTTGCTAACAGCCCCGTCAGAATCAGTGGAGAATCAGCTCAGTCCCAGTAGTCTGGTTCTCCGGCTCCTCCAGATGGCTAATTTGGCTGCCTTAAACACATAATTCAATAAACTGGGCTGTACTGAACTGATA